CTGGAGAGGGACCATGGGAGACAAGGCCCATTCTTATCTTTTGGCAGTGCCAGGGATACTGAGCAGGCTAGAGAAGCATCCTACTGCTGAGCTACACCCCCAGCCCCAAGGCCTAGTCTCAAAGCTACACAAACAGAACCGATGGGGGTGGGGAAAAATAACCCAATGACATTATTAGAAACCCTGGATCCAGCCATGCCTGAAATTGCAAGATAAAGGAGCCACTGATTTTTAAAAATATACTTTTAATCTTAGATGGACACAATACCTTTATTGTATTTATTTATTTCTATGCAGTGCCGAGGATCGAACCCAGTGCCTCACATGTGGTAGACAAGTCTCTACCACTGAGCTACATACAACCCAGCCCTAAATTCCTTTTATCTCTTTTTCCTTTTCTTTTCCTTACCCTGCTTTGAATTGGGTTTCTATCACTTACAAAATTGCCGATTAATATTCTCTTCCTGATCTCGAGCCTCTTCCTGGATAATTCAGGTCTTATCTACTCCCACGTGGGGGTGTCTGATGCAGTCAGTTCTTAAGGAAATGGATGTCTGACAGGCACCTCAAAGGTGACCTCTCTCTGATCCCTTCCTGGGTTTCCCATTCCAGGTAAATGCTGTCACCACTCAGGCCCCAGAGACAGACGACTCCGACACTTTTAGCTTCTCTCCCCCTAACTGTTCTCGTCAGCAGGGCTGTTCTGTTTCAGAAGGTTCTCACCCATCTGTCTCCTTTTCCCTCTCCACTGTCATTCCCTTAATTCAGGTCACCTTCAACTCACTGCAAGAATGTTGTCTCTCCCTTCCCTCCTCCTTCCCTGTATCGCTCCTCCATGCCTATCACTGCACTGATCTTTCTAGAAACTGCACCTGACCATGGCACTGCTCTGCTGTGGCTCCCCATCAATCTCAGTACGGTCTGAGCTCCCCAGGGTGGCTCTGGGGGCCCTTCCCAATGGGCTTCATCTTGTTCTTCTCGCCACCTTGTGTTTGTTGTGCTGCACGCGCTTGCCCTGAGCATCCTGCACACCCTGGAATTTGTTCCTGCTGGGCTTCTGCCTCACCCTAATTCCCACCAGAACCCCCATTATTCTTCAAAAAGCCCCCAAAGCTGATTCCTCCGGGCTGCTCTCCTCCTGAGGACCCTGGCCTTGCCCTACCTTGGACAGTCCTTATCTCTCTCCAAGGCTCCGGGCCTGTGATTCTGTAGTTAGCTGGACCATGATCTCAAGGGTGGGACCTGCCTGATCTTCCCCACCCTGGGCTACCACTGCACGGGGGGTGCAGGGTGTGTTCCATGAGCCAAGGTGAATGCTGGGGACCAGGGATCCTGGGGAGCTCACCCACTAAGATTTGGTTCTTGACTAGTTCTTGACCCTTTAGGGCAAAGAAGCCCCTGGAGGAAATGATTCCTTGTTTACATATGGACAGCACTTTACAGTTTACAAAATGTTTGGGGGGTGGTGCATTTTGTCATTTGGTTTTTACATTTTGGCCGCACTGTGGGAAGGTTTTAGCACTCCTGGTTTGCAGATGAAAAATGTGGTTAGAGCTGGGTTCTGATCCAAACTTCCTATATGTCGCATGAGGGCGGAGAATCGAGGAAAAGCAGAATTCCTGAGTTAGAAGAGCCAAGGCCCGTCTGGATTGGGCTATGGCAACAGTAATAACCAGACAACAGGGGCTGGGGCTGGGGCTCAGAGATAGAGCACTCGCCTACCATGCAGGAGGCACTGGGTTAGACCCTCAGCACCACATAAAAAAATGAAATAAAGATATTGCATCCACCTATAACTAAAATATATCCAAAAAAAAAAAAAAAAAAAAGACAACAGCGTGTGCGCTGCCCTTCCCTGCAGTGTCCCACGATTCACTGGCATCATGAGCTAAGGAAGAAGGGCTACTCTTTCCCATTTTACAAATAAGGAAACCGAGGCAGGGGACCATTAAAGAGACCGGGCCCCTCTGGGCCAGGTTCCTCCTTGGTTACCAGGACAGTACTTTATAGTGCCTAGGTCCCCACCCCCATCTGGCCAGCTCAGAAGTCAGGGGCAGAGGTGGGAGGTGACACCCGGCCTTCTGATCCCGGGGAGGGACCAGAGTCTGGGAGGCAGCTTAGGATGTGGGGGCGTGGGGGTGGCAGGGCCGCGAGTGGGCGTCCGCCCGCGTCCCCGGCTCGCCCTCCGCAGCGACAGCGGCAGCTAAGCGAGCTCCGCGGCGGCTGGGAGCTGGGCAGGTGGCGCTGGCGGCGGCGGGTGTGCCTGCGTGGGCGTGGGCGAGGGGCCCAGGCGGGCGGGTCCCCACGCCCATCCTCCCTCTCGCCCGCCCTCTCTCCCGTGGCTGGTGGCAGGTGAGTGGGTGTCGAGGAACCGCCAGGCAGCGGAGAAAACAGGACGCCGCAGAAATCAGATTACTCACCTGCAGCTGCGACTACCCAGGGCTAATAAAAGCAGAGCTTCCTGTTGTTTTATTACCGCCCTGTGCCTCCCCCAGCCCCATCGCTCCCAGCTGCACCACGGCCCTCACAGGTCGCCAGAAACCAGTAGCTTCGGGGTCCCGGCCACTGGAAGCCTGAAATGCCATCTGCCGGGCGCAGGGTGGGGGCAATGTACCCTCGAGGGTGGCCTTCAGTCACCTGCTGGGAATCACCTGGGTGGCTGGTTCTGGAGTTGGGGATGGAGATGAGCCTACCTGGGCAACCCTTTGACCTCAGACCCTCAGGTGGCTCCTTCGTCAAATGGGATGACGATGATGCAGCCTTTTGGTTTGCACCCTAGATGTGAGGTCCTGCCCCGCAGACCCCCCGGAAGGGAGGCGGGTTGCGGGAAAGCACGCCTGTGCGGCTCAAGCTGGTCAGTTTGTCTGAAAGAAGGCTGAGGAGTTGAGCTCTCAGCGTGGGTGGCCATGGTTGCTCCGGGGTTTGCAGACCAAGCAGGAAGACCCTGAAGGAGGACGGCCCGCAGGCGGACAGGGTGGAAGAAGTTACGTGGGACTGGCCATAACTCCCTCCTGCACCCTGAGAAAGGCCCTTTACTCCCAGCTTCTCCAGAGTTTGGTTTCTGTGGCACCAGAAGAATATTATTGTCAAGGGCATTGACTGATGGCCAGATCTCGGGGCCTCTTCCTAGCCTTCTGTGACATGGGACTCAGAGAAGCCACTTATTTCCTTCAAAATTTTTGGGGATTGACACTTTACCCCTGAGCTACATCTCAAGTACTTTTGTTTTTGAGACAGGGTCTTGCTAAATTGCTGAGGCTGGTCTCAAACTTGGGATTCTCCTGCCTCAGGTGCCACCCCTGCCTTGGCTTCTTCAGATTCTTGCTTCAGGGATGCTTCCCATCCTCTCTTCCTCCTGTCTCCCTAGATTTCTTTTTTAGGGTCTTTCCCTCCCAAGGTGCAGGAGGGAGTTATGGCCATTCCCACGTAACTTCTACCACCCTTTCCACTGTCCCTAGGTCACAGGTGCCTTGAAGTACTGTGCACGCACCAGACCCTCCCTAGACCACCTCTCCTCCTCAGGTCACCTTCCCCACGCTGAGCACCTCCCAGGCATCCCCACTGGGTGGGAACCCCAGGCTGCCTGTCTTGCTGCCTCTTTGCTTTGCTATTTCCCTTGGAAAGAGTGAAGTTTGGGTTTGATGGGATCTGAAACCCCCAAGCACCTGGCCCAAGTACCTGGCTCAACTGGACCAGCACCAGCTGCATCAACTTGCTCTCCCCTTGGCCTGCCTCTGCCTCTGCTGTGGTAGGCCTTTATCGCAGGATGTCACATCTAGACGGTGATGTGACTTCTCTCCTGGACTCCCCCTACGGTCTTCCAGTCCCATTTTTACCTCTGTAATAGCTCTAGAGTCAGTCTGTCCTCCTCTTTTCAGTCTTCCTGACTCATGCACAACAGGTCTCTGAGCCCAGGACTCCCTTATCTCTCACTTGGAATATTTTTTGGTTATTTTATTTTTTTATGTGGTGCTGAAAATTGAACCCAACCTCTGAGGCACAACCCAAGCCCTCACTTGGAATTTTTATTTTATTTATTTTTTGGGATTGAACCCAGGGCCTTGTGCATGCAAGGCAAGCACTCTACCAACTGAGCTATCTCCCCAGCCCTCACTTGGAATATTTTAACAAACCTCTTAAATGGCTTTCCTGGGTTGTTTAAGAGGGGACTCTTTCTTTTGGTACCAGGGATTGAATCCAGGGGCACTTAACCACTGAACCACACCCCAGCCCTTTTTTTTGCATTTTATTTAGATACACAGTCTTGCTAAGTTGCTTAGGGCCTTCCTAAATTGCTGAGGATGGCTTTGAACTTGCGATCCTCCTGCCTCAGCCTCCCCAGCCCCCTGGGACTATAGGTGTGCCCACTATACCTGGCAATAGGGGGCTCTTTCTGAGACACAAACCCTAGCCTTGGTTCAAAACATTGGTGGTTCCTCGGAGCCCGTAGCATACAATTAAAACTCTTCCTCTTCCCACTGAGAACTCCCAAGGCAGAGTTCCCTCCTGCCTCCCGTGCTCATTACCCTGGGAGCCAGTTATCTCTGACACTCATCAGCCTCAGAAGGCAGGCAGGGCATGGTGGTGCACGCCTGTAATCCCAGGGCTGGGGAGGCTGAGGCAGGAGGATCCTGAGGGCAGCTTTGTGAAGATAAATTGAGGAATTGAGAATCCCCAACCCAGGACTCAGACCTCGCCAGCAGCACTGCTGCTACCTGTGTGCCTCCCTGTCAGGTCCCCTCCGTCCCCTGGAAGTGAACATCATCCTGAGTTTTGTGGTCACTATTCCCTTGCTTTTTTTTTTTGGGGGGGGGTTCACCCTAGGGGGATGGATCCCAGACAATTTAGTTTTGTTTGCTTTGGGACCTTTAGATAAATAACGCAGTGTAGATACATTCTTCTTGGATTTTTTTCATGCATCACTGTTTCTAAAACATATTTGTAGTTGTGCCTATTTTAGGTGTCATTCCTTCATTTTCTCTGCTGTGTGGTCCTCCCCTGTCTGGAGAGTTCCTGTGTGCATTCTCCCATCGAGGAACATGCAGGTGGTTGCCAGTTTTTTTTTTTTTTTTTTTTGCTTTCCCCAACAGGCTGCACAGCATTCTTTTCTGTGCCTCTTGGTACGTACCTGTAGGCATTTCTCTAAGCTCCATACTTAAGCCTGTCCTGGGGGTCAGTAGGATGCACATATTTAGCTTTACAAGACGCTGCTGTGTTGCTTTCCAAAGTTCTTGCTGCATCGATTAACTCTCCCCTTCCTCGCCACATGGATGAGCATCCAGCAGCTCGGCACCCTGGCCAGCACTTGGTATTGTGGGACTTTTTATTTCTCCCTAATATGTAGGTCTTCACTGGCCTGTGAGACGAAACCTCTTCTTATGTACTTATTTTTCAGTCTGGTTTCTTTTTCTGTGACTTGCCTGTTTGAGTCTTTTGTACACTTGTTTATTAAGTTGTTTGGCTTGTTTTTCCCCCCTTCTTACTGGTTTGAGGCATTCTCAGGGAAGGTTATTGCTTCCATTTTTTAATAGAGTTAGGATCTGAGACCCAAGCTCATGAGGGGACAAAGTGGGCCCCAAGCCCACGACTACCTGGTTCCAGGGTCCTTTGTACCAATCTCTCTGCCTCCCATTCATTCAGTCCTTAAATGTCTGCTGATGACTTTCTTTCTTTTCTTCCTTTCTTTTTTTTTTTTTTTTTTTTTGGTATAGATTGACACAACACTTTTATTTTATTTTATTTGTTTATTTTTATTTTTATGTGGTGCTGAGAATTAAACCCAGTGCCTCATACTTGCTCCGTGAGCACTCTACTGCTGAGCCACAATCCCAGCCCCTGATGACTTTCTTAGTAGATCTTGGAGAGGGAATAGATAGTTGTGTTTAAGAGCATAGACCCTGGAGCCCCCTGCCTTAGTCATAATAAAAAATTATTATTACTTTGCAGTGTTGTGGATCAAATGTGGGCCTTGCACGTGTAAGGTAAGTGCTTTAGCACTGAGCTACTTCCCCAGCGCTCTGCCTAGATTTTAATCTCTTCTCTGCCACTCGTGAGCTGTGGCCTTGGGTAGATTTTTATCCAATCTGTGCCTTTGTTTCCTTATCTACAAAATAAGAATAACACCAGTGCCTTCTTTACAGTCTTGATGCACAATGCAGGAATGAGTTAATCCATGTGAGAGAGCCCAGGTCAGTATTCAGCGTACAGTCTATGTTGGATAAATAACTGGCACAGGTTAGGCACTGTGCCTGTGGTGCCTTGTTCTGGGGACATGTGGATGAAGACGGATAAGGACACTGACCTCACAGAATTCACTGTCTGGTGGAAGGAGACAGACACAAAACAAATAAAGAAATGAAAGAATGTGGCTTGTGCCTGGCGTGGTGGTACATGCCTATAATCCCAGAGACTGGGAGGCTGAGGCAGGAGGACTGCAAGTTTGAGCCTCAGCAACTTAATGAGACCCTATCTCAACATAAAAAATATAAGGACTAGGGGTATGACTCAGTGGCAAAGTGCCCCTGATTCAATGCCCAGCTACCCACCCCCAAGGTGGCTGTGATGAGAATGAGAAAGAAAAACCCAAGGTGATGAAACCGAGTGACCAGACGCTGACTCAGCTGGGTGGTCATGCAAGGAAAACCCCCTGGAGAAGCTGACATTTAGGCTGATGTGCAGAGAATAAGACCACCCAGGCAAAGAGCAGACAGGAGAGCAGTCTAGCAGCTAGAAGGACACATGCAAAGGACCTGAGGTAGGAAGAGCTTGATGTTTTAGGGGACTGTAGGGAGGGCAATGTGACCAGAGCCAAATGAGCAAGGAGGAGAGGGCCGGAAAGGAGGCCAGGGAAGCGCCAAGGCCAAGGGTCTGCATTTTATTCTGTACAGCAAAGGGTTGTGCTTTGTCTTTATATAATCATTTGATGCTGTATGATTGACTATCTATGAATTCACCTAAATACTTCTTGAAGCCATTGGTATTTTTAGCCAGTACCCCCTTTCTGTGAAGCAAGACTTCCCTTTATTGGTCTTACATTGACTACTTTTGGCTTTTGAGGGGAGCCCCCTTCTGCCTTATAGCTGAGGGTTAGCAAGCCAAAGTAAGAACTTAGTTTTTTTTTTTTTTTTTTTGGCAGTATTGAGGATTGAACCAGGTATTCTCCCATGCTGGGCAAGTGTTCTACTAGTGAGATGCTCCCTCAACCCTTTATTTTATTTTCAGATAGCAACTTGCTGAGTTGCTGAGAGTCTAAGTTGCTGAGGCTGGCCTCCAACTTGTGATCCTTCTGATTCAGCCTCCTGATTTGCTATGATTATAGGAAGGAGCCGCCACACCTGGCTTCACAGTCAAGATTTTACTAGAGATGTGAGAGGAGGGTCCCCAGGGTGGCGCCTCCCCTGCTCTGTGATGTTTTCCCACCTGTGAAGTGAAAATAATGAGTGGCTCCCTGAGAGTGGCAGAGAGCATGAAATGGGACATGGGTTGGGAGCAGGCAGTGGTCAGTATTTGCTGGCTACCACACAGAGGGTGATGACAGATGGGGGTGATGGACAGTCCACTGTGTGATACTGGGTGAGTCACTGGACTCCACCTTACAAGTCTGTAAAATTATGGTGTTGGATCAGATAACTGGGTGAGGGCTTATCCAGTCTGTTCTAGAATTCTCTAGGTCTATTCTTTCCTTTCTTTCTTTTCCCCTTGGGATGGGGACTGAACCCAGGGGCTGTTTACCACCCACATTCCAGCCCTTTTTATTTTTCATTTTGAGACAGGGTCTCGATAAATGGCTTAGGGCATTGCTAAATTGCTGTGGCTGACTTTGAACTTGTGATGCTCCTGCTTCAGCCTCCCGACTCACTAGGATTACTGTTGTGTGCCACTACTCTTGATCCTATTTTTTTTACTTCAAAACAGGGTCTCCTAATGGCCAATGCTGATCTTGAATTTGAGATTTTCTTGCCTGGCCACCCAAGCCTCTGGGATTACAGGACTGCCTCACTGTGCCCTGCCCTTTTCCTGCAATTTTTGTTGTTGTTGTTGGGGACAGTACTGGGGATTGAAGTCGGGGGCACTCGACCACTGAGCCACATCCTCAGCCCTATTTTGTATTTTATTTAGAGACAGGGTCTCACTGAGTTGCTTAGCGCCTTGCTTTTTCTGAGGCTGGTTTTGAACTCCCCATCCTCCTGCCTCAGCCTCCCTAGCGGGTGGGATTACAGGCTGAGCCACTGCGCCCAGCTTCTTCTGGCAATGTTGAAGCTCTCTTTTGACAAGGGATGAGAGACAGAGTCTCAGGGTGGAGAGAAAACCGGCCTGGAATCAGGAGGCCTGAGATGCTAGCTGTGGCCTTTGCAGTGGTGTCCCCACCACAGTGCATTTAGCAGACACGCATTTGACACTCACACGGAGGAAGGGGAGAGAGCTGGGTACACCTGAATCACTGCTATGGGGTCCCATGCCCATCCGTCCCTCGAGCATCTACTCCTTGATGAGTATGTGACCTGCCCTGGTCGCCCAAAGGGTCAAAAGTTCCTGCACACATAGCAGAGGGTAGCTGTCACCATGCTGAGTACGACCCTAGTGTTCAAATATTTTTGTACAGGGTGGCCCTGAATACAAGCCAACCATGGTGATCAGGGAGGCCGCACTGTAACACCACTGGAGAAGGGACCTCGGTGCTGCTGTCAGCTGATGGACGACCTTGCTTCCGGTTTCTCCGGGAAAACAGAAGCGATCAGAAGAAACTTCCCCAGCCCCGCCCGCCTCCGCTCACCTGCTGGCACCGGTACCTGGTCGGGGATGCCTGTGCGCGTGCGCGTCTAGGACCGCGCCTCCACGTGGCTCCGCAGGGTCTGCGCGTGCGGGCTCCGGCGGGGCGTCAGCGGGTGGCCCGCCGGCCGTTCCTCGGTCACTCCCGCAGCCCCGGGAGTCCCGGGGTGTCCTCACTGGCTCAATCGCGTCAGCACACAGTCGCGCTGCGACTCTCCCAAGCCTCTTTTCTTTCCAGTAAAACTTTCCCAAGGGCTTTCTGGTCGAGTGTCTTGGTTCTTCTTTTCCCTTTCTCTCGGCCACATCCTCTTTGACTTTGGCGCCCCGCGCTCCTCTGAAGTTGCTGTCTTTAAGGTCGTGGGTGGCATCCCGCAGCCAAATCTGAGAGCCGGCTCCCGGTCCTCGGCCTCCCTGGGGCCCGTCCTCCCGTCGCTTCCCGGGCTCCCTATCTTGTGGCTCTCCTCCGCCCACCCCCACGGCCTCCTCCAGCATCCTTGGCTGGTGGTTCTCTCCTCTTCCCCCTCCCCCAGGCTGGAGCACCCCCTAAAGCCAGCCTCAGACCGCCCTCTGCTCTAGCTCCTTCCCAGGAGGGCTCCGGTCCCAGGCACATCCTCGCTCCTGTCCTACAGGCCCAGGGCTCAGCCCCCGACTCCAGCCTCTCCACTCAGTGGCCACAGGAAACCCACACTTGATATATGCACAACAGAACTTGGTTCTTACCCCAACTCTGATCTTCCCTGAGTCTTTCCAGCTCAAAAAAGCCACCCACCCCCACGCCAAGAAAATCCAAAACCCAACACCTGCACCCCTCCATCCTGCCAAGGAGTGGTCCACGACTTGGGTCATCCGGATCTCTTGGTCTCTTCTTTATACCCCCATCCGACCCATCACATATACCAGGAGCTCTGTCTTCCAAAGATGGCCACAGTCTGACCCTCACCCCTTCCACTGCTACTACCCGCGAATGTGGCCGGGCCACCATTGTTTCTTGCTCAGATTTGTGTGAAAACCTCCCAGTGGGGCTCCCTGATGCCCCCCACCCCACCCTCTGCCACGTTGTTCTACATACAGCGGCCAGCGTGTGATCTTTAAAAACCCGAGCCAGGTCCTTTCTTTCCTCTGTTCAAACCCTCCGACTCTCTGATCACTCAGAAAAAAATCTTAGCATCCTTCCATGGCCTGGAAGATCCCACTTGAGCTGTGAGCACCCCCCACTACCTTCCTCTGGCTGTGCTGCCCTCCCTGGCCTCAGCCTTCTTTGGCCTCTCTGCTGTCCTTTGAGCAGCCAAGCACAGTTGTGTCTCAGGGTCTGCACTGGCTGTTTCTTCTGCTTGGAGAAGATGGCTCTTGACTCTTGCCATTTATCCATTCATAGGATGCATGCTCATTCTCTCTCTCTCTCTTTCTCTCTCTCTCTCTCTCTCTCACACACACACACACACACACACACACACTCTTTCTCTCTCTCTCCCTCTCTCTCTCTCCCCCATGCTGGGGATCAGACCCAGGGTCTCACACATGCTAGGCAAGCACAGTACCAGAGCCACATCCCCAGCCAGACCCACAGGGCTCATGTCTGCCCACCACTAGAGAAGCTTTCCCTGGCTACCTTACAGAAAATGGCCTTCCTCCATTCTCCCTCACTTTTACGACCTTCTAGTCCCTTTCCTGTTTTGCTTTTCCTCTGAGCTCCCTCACCAGCGAAGGTCCTCACTGGGCGTTCTCTTGCTCATTGTTTATCATATGTCTTCTCCAAGGGCAGAGACTTTCCTCTCCTCTGTCCTATTATCCAGCGTAGTTCCTGAATGAATGAAGGGGTCAGAATCATTGAGAAGCTATTTGTTGGGATCCCCTGTGACATCCTCCTGAAAGTTTTTCAAGGATTTGCTCATTCAACAAATATGTTATAGCTATTTCATTATGTACCAATTTACCACCCCCTCCAGGAAGATGAATTTCCACTGTTTTCTCTGTATCATGCCCACCTGCCCCATAGGCTCTCTCTGCAGGATGGAGCAACCATACATTCCACGTCCATTTATTGAGCATCTACCATGTGCCAACTACTATGCAAGGGCCTGAAATTTATTTATTCATTCATCCTGATGTATTTAACTTGGTACCAGGGGTTGAACCCAGGGGCGCTTTACCACCGAGCCACATCCCCAGCCCTTTTTATTTTTTGAGACAGGGTCTTGCTTGGTTGCTTAAGGCTCACTAAGTTGCTGAGGCTGGCTTTGAACTTGTGATCCTTCTGCCTCATCTTCCCAAACTGCTGGGATTATAGGCATACGCCTTTAATCCCAGGGCCTCATGCATGCTAAGTATGTTCTCTGCCACCTAGTTACACCCACCAGCCCCTGAAATTTAAAAATGAACAATTATAATCATAGATCATTTCTGGTGAGAGGTATATAGGAAAATAGTAACCTCAAAATACAATTGCCCAGGGGCTGGGGTTGTGGCCCAGTGGCAGAGCATTTGTCTAGCATGTGTGAGGTACTGGGTTTGATTCTCAGCACCACATATAAATAAATAAAATAAAGATCCATTGATACTTAAAAAAAAAATACAATTGCCCAAAGATTAAAAATATCATGGAGAGCTGGGTCGAGTGGTACATGGCTGTAATCCAGCAGTTTGGGAGGCTGAGGCTGGAGGATCACAAGTTCAAAGCCAGCCTCAGTGACTCAGTGAGGCCCTAAGCAACTTAGAGAGACCCTGTCTCTAAATAAAGTACTAAAGAACAAGGGCTGGGGATGGAATTCAGTGGTTAAGTTCCCCTGGGTTCGATCCTGGTTAAAGAAAGAAGGAAGGAAGGAGGGAGGGAGGGAAGGAAGGAAGAGGGGGGGAGAGGAGAGGGAGGGGAGGGAGAGAGAGAGAGAAGGAAGGAAGGAAGGTAGGTCAGCAAGGATGTAGGTGACTAGAGATTCTGACGCATTATCATGGACGTGTGAGTAGTAGGAGCTCTGTGGAAGGCATGTACTTGACTCTTGAATCCCAGCCTAGGAACTTGCCCACAGGAGGTTTTCACCAAATGCAGGGATGTTTATTGGACATTTTTTTAGAATAGTGAAAAACTGGAAATAGCTCCAATGTCCAACCATACAGAATTGGTTGTGAAAATTATGACAGTTCCGTACAGCAGATACCAAGGAACCGTAAACATGATGATGTGGAGACTGTTTAGTGAAACTTGAGAATATATTTGGAATATATCATTAAATGAAAAACTTAAAAAGCCAACAGATTGCAGACCTGCATGTGAGGTGTAATATCATTCTCGTATACATGAACCGCTACGTGTTTAGACCTAGGAAGGTTTTAGAAAAAAGGCCCTAACATGTTTAAAACGTGGGGGTTGCTGGGGTGGTGGTGCACGTCTGTAATTCCAGCAGCTAGGAAGGCTGAGGCAGGAGGATCACAAGTTCAAAGCCAGCCTCAGCAAGTTAGTGAGGCCTTAAGCAATGTAGTGAGACTTTGTCTCAAAAAAAAAAAAAAAAAGGCTGAGGATGTGGCTCTGTGATAAAGCACCCCTAGTTCAATCCCTGGTACCAATAAATAAATAAATAAATACATAAATAAAGAATAGCTGTTCTGATAATTTTTAAATATTTTGTAGTTTAGATGGACAGCATGCCTTTATTTTATTTGTTTATTTTTAGGTGGTGCTGAGGATGGAACCCAGTGCCTCACACGTGCAAGGCAAGTGCTCTGCCACTGAGCTACAGCCCCAGCCCCCTTTAAAAAATTAGAAGACAACCCAAATACCTGTAAATAGAGAACTGGGTAAATAAATGATGGTAGTCACACAAATACTGTCTTATTGTTTTAAAAGTTGCCATAGATGGGCTGGGGTTGTGGCTCAGCGGTAGAGCCTTGCCTAGCACGTGTGAGGCCTTGGGTTCCATCCTCAGAGCCACATGAAAATAAATAAATAAAATAAAGGTATTGTGCCCAACTACAACTAAAAAATAAATATTAAAAAAAAGTTGCCATAGAAAATGAAATCATAAGGGCTGGGAATTTGACTCAGTGTGTTAGCATGTGTGAGGCCTAGGGTTCCATCCCTAACACCTCAAAAAACAAAGTGTGTGTACATATGTGTGTGTGTATTTGTGTGTGTGTGTGTGTGTGTGTATTATATATATGTCTAACTTTGATAAGGGGAAAAACAGGCCGTAGAGCAGTTTGTACAATATTAATCCATGCTTGAAAAAAACAATATATAATGCCCACCCAGAGAAAAGACTGGAAAGATCCACACCAAAATGTTGGCAGGAGTTTTCTTTGGGAAATGGAATTACAGGTGTTTTTTTTCCCCCTTCCTCTTGCTTATTTGTATGTCCTAAATCAGTTTTGTCCACCAGAATGTTCTGCAATGATGGAAATGTTCTCTATCTGCATTGACTAATAGGGTAGCCATGAGCCACATCTAACTGAGCATTTTAATGTGGCTGTGAAACTAGAGAATTGAATTTTTAATTTTATGTAACTTCAATTTCAGTGGAAACAGTTGCATTCAGCTAATTTGTGGTGCATTGGACAACATAATTCTGAAGTCATGACAAAGAACACATAGATTGGCTTTGCAAAGAGGGGAAATGTTCTGGTGCAGTGGTACACACCTGTAATCCCAGCTGTTCAGGAGGCTGAGGCAGGAGGATCAAAAGTTTGAGGCCAGCCTGAGCAACTTAGCAAGACTCTTCCTCAAAATAAATCTTAAAGGGGTGGAGATGTAGCTCAGAGGTCAGGTGTCACTGGGTTCAATACTGGGGGCAAAGGGCAAGGAGAGAAGAACTTTTTCTTTCTTTCTTTCTTTTTTTTTTTTTTTTAATATATATTCGTCCTGCCTGCCCTCATGCAGCCCTACTTTGAGGTCCTATTAAGAGGTAGTGAATTCAAGGGCTTTGCAAACTGTAGAGTGCAGTTCTCGGTTCTCAGGAGATGCTCTATATGGGACTCTCTTCCCTCTTGCCTGAGACAGAGCCCTGACCAGAGGGTACCTGTTTGG